TTTTGTATGAATTTTTTCGAATCCAGCCCTTTTATCATTGGTGGAGCTCTCGAGATCTGATCGACCCTAGAATTATAAGTTTCTACTTTTTTATCGTTGGCTTCGACTCGCTTTGTGAGTTCCTTGAGCAATTTAGCAATTTTGGGAGTAGTCCCCGATTCTTGCTCATTTGACTTCACTATGGATGGTTCTGTTCTGTGGGTGATTTCTCGGGGTGGATTGGGCTCCGGCCTGCTTTGTAGCTGGGTTTGGCTTTGCAACTGGGCTATTGCTGCCTGTTGGGCTTGCAACATTTCGAAAATCATACGCAAGCTAACACCGTTTTCCTCGACGTTATGAGTATCTCGAACCGTAGACCGAGTTCCACCATGGATGCTATTCTCGGGTTCAGCATGTAGGTTCGCCTCAATGGCTACATGCGAATTGATATCAATTGGCGCTCCGATTCGAGCTCCAACGGTGTTCACAAGTGGTCTTTCAGTACTGGGTGTCAAGTTGTTGTTTTCGTCTTGAAGAGCGGCCCCGTTATCGATTGGTGAAGCCATTTGATTGATGGTTATTCGTAGCTGATCCGAAATTCAAGATGTTTTCGGAAATAAGCGCAAAGCACAATGGCGTGGTTTTTCAGATTTGTATCAAATAACCACTGTTATCCTCGATCCCACGGTGGGCGCCAAACTGTTTACCCGAAAAATGGATAGAGTTGAATTTATACGTAGTTCCGAGGATATGTGGTGTAACTTATACAAATTGTAAGGATAAATAGAAATGTAAATATGGATTGCAGAGAATGCGAAGTAGATAAGGTTGTAAGGAAAAATGAATCTTAGGACTCAACAAATAGAATCAATTTAAAAAATCTGAAAGAATAATTTTTTTACTGTAGAAGAATATAGCGTTTTTATTACAATGTAAGCCTGAGAAATAAACTTGTCCTACAGAAATAGTAACCAAGCCCTTTTATAGTGGAGGGATTTGGCTCTAAGCATAATAAAATAAACATTCAGTGGGAGACCCATGATAAGCCAGCTTTTCCACAATTTCTGCCAAGATTCTCTCTAGTGGGATTGCAACGGCTTTTGTCTGCGAGCTCGATTTTGGTTTGAGCTCGATCTCGACTCGAGCTCTTGATCTTGGTTCAAGCCCGATCCTGGCTCGAGCTCTCGAATTGATTCGAGGTCAATGTTGGTTGGTCTCTGGATTATAAGCATGATAGATCTACTCTGCATCATGGTTCGATTTGGATTCGAGCTTGATAATGATATCGAACTAGGTTAGTTTGTTCCATCTTCGGGATCTTACTTCGATAGATCATCGTTCGAACTCGATCGGACGAGTGAAGGCCGAAATCTATTTCGACCGTATACACTCTCTATCCTCACAAGTTAGGGGTAAGTTTTGCGTACACACTACCCTCCCAGACCTCACGGCGTGGGATAATAGTGGGTATGTTGTTGTTGTTGCAATCTGTACAGGTAAAACTAAAACAACTTTTGTATTGGTATGATTTTTATGGCTAGTAATATGATAAAGCTCTGATTTTTATTGTGCTGGAAAAAATTTGAATTTATGTTTTTTTCTGCTGAATTTTGCTGTATCTTTCTGCTGGAATTCTGTAGCCTGCTAGGCTTTTCATGTGCTATCTTTTGGAAAGTAAATTATCTTACATTTTAAATTGGTTGTTCACTTGATTAGTGTGATGTAAACTTGATATCTTGAATGCTATATTTGCACTTTAGTTTGGTGCCTTTCTTGAAGTTCCGTGCCTTTGAACACTGAATGCTGGTATCTCTAAGCTTCAAATGCCCACAGTTTCTCCCTTCCCCATTCTGTAAAGGGGGTCTATAGTAAGTGAAGTTAACCCATCTTACGAGGTCTAGTACAACGTCAATACACCATTAATTTCTACCAAGGTAAAAAACATTGTCATTCATGTCCCTTATCGTGTTAACATGCAGTTGATGACTGTAACCGATGTTCACCTATAGTTATATTTTTTGAAGTGGCTGAATTGTGATGTTCGTCTTACAGGGAAAATCTTTGTTTATATTTAGATGTTTTTATTTTTTACCACTTAACTTGCATTGATCTTATTCTATGTTCCTGTCATATCAAGTTATTTTGGAGTGTGAAGTCCCTCAAAATTTTCCGGGAGGGATTTATCATTATGAAACAAAGTGAAGGGTGGTAACGTTTACATAGTGCAGTTTAGGTTGTTTATGTTATTCATGCCTTAACGAATTGCCCGAGACTATCAGTGTTTCCCAATGGGTATTTGGTTTTACTTTTTTCGGTGAAGATATATTTTCTCTCTTTTTCACTTGAACATGTGTTTCTCCTATTACACTCCTTTCCGCCTTCTTCTTTCCATTTCAATCTTAGGTAATTTGATGCTGTTCTTATGGTTTATGAATTGATTGAACAGGTTAAGCAATATGGCTGAATTGACTGCGGAAGCCCAGCTTGTTCAAAGTAAAATACTTTTATTTAATGTACCTGTCCTTTCCCTCTTGTCAATTCTATCAATTATCTTCTAACGAGGACATGACCTTTGGCATTTCCTCTTTAGAATTTACATAATTTTCTCGGGTTTCATTTCACGTTTGTCTCCTCTGCTAGCATTTCATTATTTTATTTTAAATGTCGCAACTGGTCACTTGAATTTTACTTAGTTTTAATGGACTCATACAAAACTAGCTGACCTGCTTTTGCATAAGATGTTAAGGTTCTGCTGACTTTTGTGAAATTATGCTCTTATTATGTCTAACTTAATATTAAGTCTTTGCAATAAGATGAGTTTGGAGATTTTATTGTTGGCATTGGGAATTGGAGGAAGCTTCACACAATCAGTATGGATATATGTAGCTAAATCCTAAATTTACTGTTCTGAAGATATTCTTTCCAGCTAATCTGTTTAGTGTTGGTGTCTAACCTAATCAGCCCTCTACTATTTCATATGACCAGTGCAGCATTTGTGTATGGTCCAATGTGACTTCAAAGTCAAAGATGGCTTATGTTTGTTTGTCAGGCATTTAACCTATTGGCAAATTAAAAAGATATTAATGGAAATATAGCAGTGATGTTGATAAGTCTATGTCGTGTCATCATATTTGTTATAGTTTCCTACTGTTGTGAAAGCCCATTCGTTCTTTTGGGTCGACTCTTTATCAGAGGAGCAGATTAACGTTACTATCTGCTGTAAGTAATGCAGTATGCAGCAGCTAGTCTGTGAAATCTATAAAATCTATGTGGTCATCTATCTTGTTGAAGCAAAAAGAAAAAATAAACTTGCAATGTGTAATTACAGTAGAGTTAACAAAAATGAAAGAAAGAAAGGGTTACAGTAGAAGACAAGCTGGTCTGGCCCTCTTAATTGTAGATTGAATGTTCCAAGCATAGGATAAGCATGTGTTGTTAACCAAGAACAGTTATCACTATTTCATGTCATGATAACCATAATCCATACTTCCTCATTGCTGTAATACTGCCCTCTTACCCAAGTTACATCCATGGGGCTGTAATGGATTTTGCCTATAAATCACAAGGATTTTGTCTAACTTTTTGAGGAAGTTTTATCACCTAGTACTGGATTAATGCCTATTCTTTGCCTTACATTGACAAAATTGTCAATAGAGCATGCACATGTTTTTCGAGTTTCCCAGGAGCTGTGGAGCTATGGTAGACTCAACTTTGATATGAGTGAAATAAGCTTCTCATTCATCAAATTATTAATACCAGAAAACAACTGTCTTTAGATCTTATTAAAGGAATAAAAAAATGTGCCAGAAAGGATATTAACAGTAAATAGCGAGAAATGACATTTCAGTTTGTCTGGTTAAAATCATGTGTCATGGTTTCATAATCTTGTAATAGAATGAACAAGTTATTGAGATAACTGCATCTACCATTCTTGGCGATTAATCAACAGGCATTTTGTCAGAGATTTTTAATATCAGAGGAAAAATAAAAAAGAACTGCAATGGGGAAGAGGAAACTATGAATAAGCAGATTCGCATGGCTTACTGTTAGTCTAAAACTACATTGATTGTCTTAGCTCCTTTATTCTCTTATCTAACCCCTTTTTTTCTGTTCATTATCACAAGAATTTGTTTTACATGGAAAATTCTAGATGAACATGCAGTAATATTATTAGAAAATGATACCTATACATGTATATGTTAGAAAGTAGTAATATTTTTTGTATATGAGCAGACAATCCCTTTATGTTGTAATTTTTGCTTTGCATCTTCTTGATGCCATTTAATGAAATTCCCTTACTTCATAAAAAAAACCTTTTTCTTATTAGTATGTTTTTGTGCTTACCCATATGCGTCATAAGCTTGTTGCGTGTAATTCGCTTTGGTTGTTTTGATTCACCTCCAATCCTTGGTGTGGGCGAGTAAGATCATATGCTACCCTAGTTGCTCCGACACGACAGTTTAGGTGCCGCACCCATGTCGACATGACACTACTATGGGTGTGGGTATGGGATCCGTACCGGATCTGATCAAATAATTTGGCTACTTTGACCACGACGGACGGAAAAATTTGAGACAAGATACAATTTGATTCCCAAAATCAGAACCAAAACTAGGGTAAATTTGAAGAAAATAGCATACCTTATCTAGGAAATCTTTTTTTTCCCGGGGAAATCAATCTTTTAATAAAAAAGAAATTCACACCTTACAAGCTATACGTAAGTATTCCGCAAAATTTCTCATATTATAGAGAATATTTTTATTATTTTGAATTATTTTTAGACGGATCCCCGCACCCGAATACGTACTAGGATCCATATCCCCGAATCTTAGAATTTACATATCGAAGGATCCGACCTCTAAATTAGTGTTGTGAAAAGCGGGCGCTTCCTTGCTTAAAGCGAGAAGCGAAGCGAGGTGTCCCAACCACCGCTTCTGCTATCTGAAGCGTAGCAGGTATTCAAAAGCGGTCGCTTCCCACTAAAAAGCGAGAAGCGACGATGCGAAGCGAGGCGACTAAAGCAAGCGCTTCTCTGGTTTAAAGGGCTGCCAACCTTTTTAATTTAAAAAGCTGTTCTTTTATACACTTTTCAACTTCAAGATCATCAAGTTTAGTCCAGGTATGTGATTTCTTCTCCTCCTCCTTTTTCTTTCACTGTTTCAGCGTCCAAATAGCATTGAAATGTTGGCGATTTTTTTTTCCCCCCTCAGTTCTTCTTTCTCATTCTTCTCCTCTTCTTCTTCTTCTTCTTCATTTTCTTGCACTGTTTCAGTGATAAAAATGATGAAATGCTGTTTCAGTTATACTGCCCTTTTCGTAGTTGATGAAGAAGAAGTTGAAGAAGATGACGAGCAATATAATAATGATAGTGGAATACAAGAATTTGACTATCTTGTAGAAGAATAGGATGCTCATTTTGTGCTTTAATTGATACTACTCTTTAGTTTTTACATTGAAGTATTGAACATTTGCTTACAGTTACATGTGTTGTCTATACATTATTTATTTTAAATTTTTTTTTTTACAATGCCGCTTCACTTCAAAAAAGCGAGCGCTTCGCTTCTCACTTCTCGCTTTTCCTCGCTTCACGCTCTTCACAACACTGCTCTAAATCCATACCCGTGTCGGACACCCGCACCCGTGTCTGAGCAACTTAGATGATGTCTCCTCTCCTGGAATAACAACTCTACCTTGTCCTTTTTCCTTGAAATGAGAAAATGTAAAAAAGAACCTTAATGGAAAAGTCTCCTGAATCCTGCATATGTAATTATGCATCTATCCTCCTTAACACTTAAATGAAGTTTCTATCTTGTTTCCCTCTCTCCTAGCACCTTGTCTTTGTCTGTTCTCCAATTCTTTTCTGGCTGATTCGGCATCAGGTTTTATTTACATGTTGCTTCTAATTTATAATGCAAGCATTACTCTGTCTCTTGGTGCTATACTTGCTATGAGATATTGAAGTCACGGATTATGCCCTAGGTCGAGCTCTCTCATTCTGTACTGCTGACATCTGGAGAAAATGTCTTTGCCTCATGATTCAGATAATTTAGAGAATGTCGATGGGTTCCAAATGATGTCCAAACAAGATGCTGCATGTGTTCCTAACATGCAAATGCAGCCCGAAGAAATCGGTAGGAGATGCCGATGCTCCTGTCATTCATGATATTTCCCCCCAATTATTTTCATTATGGTTTTGCCAAGAGACCAGGATCACAAGAACAATGTTTTCATCTGTATGCTTTTATTTTCAGAAAGGAAAGCTCGAGTGGATGCTGTTTGGCAGCAAATGAATAAAGGAGTGTCTACGAGGACCCTGTACTCCATAATAAACAAGCCTTCTTCAGCATCAAATAAAACTTCCTCAAAGAAATCATCAAAACCGCCGTCTTCTGTGAGTATAAGACCTCTACTTTACAATCGTGTGAGATATGCCCCCGTTTTTATTCGGACTTGTGGTGTAACAATCTCGGCAGAGTTGGATGACAGTACTGGGATTGTCCCAAAAGAAGACATCAGAGCCTGAAAGAAGCACGCCTGAGAAGTGTCTTAGGCCTACTCAAAATGAAACTAGCGAGGAGGCAAAGAAGCTTGCTGCTGCTGCTCTCTGCGCAGTAAAGGAGGCTGCCGCAGCTGCTGCCTCTTCAGGCCGGGGTAAAGTTGTAAGTCTAGCCTTCTTGCTCATGATATTTTTGTGCAGTACTAGCTTTTCATTTTTGTAGCTGAAGACTTGGTTCCAAATGTTGTAATACACTCATAGAGTGCCAGGTGCTAGAGCTTTTTTGGCTGTACATTATTACTGATTCACTTTCTTTCTATGTGACATAACCTGTGGAGAATGCAAAACTTGCTTACAGATCTCTTTTACTTTTCTCAAAGAGCAAGAATGCTTGATACTGTTGTCACTAAAGTAACTTATCCCACTCCCCAACCCCAAAGAAAAATTTAGAAAGAAAGAAACTGCTGCTCACTTTTGTTTGTTTAATCTTTAAGTTTGATAGTTATCATCAATACAACACCAGGCACCAGAAGAGAAGGACAGGGTTGAGGAAATTTGTGAGAATGGTTGCAAGCAGTTGGTCGTCTGAACCACTTGATGGAGAACTTTAGATTAATAATTATCACTCTTAAGATGTGCATATGCTTCTCAGATTTGTTGTAGCTCCTTTTTCCTTGCACATTCTTTATACCTAGTCTAATTTTACAGATCACTGAAGTACGAGATTTTGCTGGTGAAGAAGTTGAAGTAAAAAAATATGTTGATGCCAACTCTGCGGAAGCATCTGAAAAAGGCAAAGGCCCTGTAGCGTCTGCTTCTCCTGTTGATATTATCCTTGAACAAATAAAAAAGAAGCAGAAACTCAGTGTGCTTGATAAGACAAAGAAAGACTGGGAGGGGTTCAAGGAAGAAAATAAAGGCATGGAAGACGAGCTGGATGCTTACAAGAAGAGTTCCAATCAGTATCTAGACAGGGTTTCTTTCTTAGAACGTGCTGATTATCGAGAATTTGAGCGGGAGAGAGATGCTCGTCTTGCAATGCAAGCAAAGAGGAAACCAGATAGTATGAGAGAAGACTAACTGAGAGCATACCTTCCAGGAGATACTGGCAGTTAGGATGTGGAAAAGAGGCTGTGGCATTCTTGTTGAAAGAAGTATCTGTGGATTTTGGTAGCCTAAATTTCCTGTCTTAGATTATAAGTCTGTCCTTACTCTAGGAGGATGCCATAAGGGAATATTATCATTGGCAAATGTTGCTGCAGGGTTTAAGAGGTCTTTTCTCTTGTGACCTGAGACTTGACATGAGGAAATCTGTTCGTGTAATCTATTGTCCTTTTTCTTTTTTCTAATTTTAGTCCACTAACATTCTTTCACTCAGTCACTGATGACTCTGATTCTTCCCCTCGTCGGCTCGTCTAGTTAAAAAGTATTGCAGGATAGTTCTCCGGAAATGGAAAAAAAAAAGATTATGGAGGGTAGACTTAATAGCAGTCAATGAAGGTTATTGGCTCAGAGGAAGAATTGAACCTTGAGCTTGGACACAGAGTTGTTATGATCGACCCTTATATCTAATCCTATTGTGAATTGAGTTGAAGCCCTTGCTGATGGATCCAGGGCCAGTTAATGATTTATAACGTGCTTTTGCTTCCAATAAAATTTTGGAGTAGTTGGTTCAAAGTGTCCCGTGTTGCTGCTGGTTGCCATGTATTTAAATTGCCATTTGTTTTCGATTTCCATTTGATTCTACAAAATTTCTATTGATTCGTAACAACTAACAAATGAGTCTTCAATTCCAAGGGCAGCTTCACTGGACGAGGCAGGCAATCAACTTTCCGCTGAAGGATCTCAAAATCCAATGTTTCCGATGACCATCAACTTGGGAGATTAGAACATAAAATATTGCAGAATGTTAACCAGATTTCATTATGCAACCCACATTATACATCCAATTTACCTCATCTTTCTTGCTCAGCAAAGTGCTCATTCATGTCCTTCCAGATACTAATTAATCTGGTACCAACTACAACATACAATCCTGGGAGGAAGTAGAAAGAAAAAAGAAGAAGAAGATTGTTTCCGCAATTAACTAGAGACTAAAAACTTGTTTATATTATGCATTTACAACAGTGTGCAAACCAATGAGAATTCAGTCGTCTTGAAACTAGCATACAAATACAACCCCATGGGGTCATATCTTGTGATATCATGGTTGCCAAAATCCTCAATCTTCCTCTTGGTTCATAAATGGTCCTCTTCAGAACCATAAAGCTGATGTTATGTGCCTTGAACTTCGACCTAGCTAATGTTGTATGAAAGAAACTAAAGGTGTTTCACAATGGAAGTACTGAACTGGAGCTACGATGATGTCTTGAGAAGAAAGACCTACCACCATATGAAAATGATCTCTTCATCAAAACATGTTCTTTATGCAGAGACAATGCCATGGAACTTGAATTTTCACCAACAGCTTCCTCCAGTTTTGCTGTTTCAACACATCCCTTTTCACCTCTACTCATTCTTGACAACATATACATACCAAGTCCTATATTTAAACTAATTGAAGAATCTACTGAAACAGACCTCCTCATTCCTTGTACCTCTCCATTTACACTATCCCATTTGGTATTAACTTTTTTTGCTGAAGTTCCCAGGCTCTCAATCTGCAAAAACTCTTCTTGCTCACCAGCATTTTCGCAAATCTCGCCATCTGTGGCCTCATTGTTACTATTTACTTCTCCAGTATCATCTCTCTGTTCATCAATTTCCAACATCCTTTCTTCATTGGTACTGAAACTAGTACCTAAATTCGGCTCGATAGAAGCACGACACAAGGGACAATTGGTGTGTGATCTAAGCCATGTGTCAATACAATGGATGTGAAAAGCATGTTTACAATTTGGAAGTAGTCTAAGAGACTCCTCTTCTTGAAATTCATTCAAGCAAACAGAGCAGTTTGTTCCTTCAATCAGACCATCCCCTTTTTTGAACTTGAAAATAGTTATCATATCAATAACAGATGGTTGAAGACCCACAGTGTTGATGTACCAAATTGGATGATCAATTATAGGAGCTCGATTTTCGTCGAAAAATTCTTCATTGGAGCCTTGTGCTGAGGTACTTCTTCTTCTGTTCCAATTCAAGCAGTTCTTAACAATGATCAAATAGTAGCTAACAAGAAGAAACAAGCTAGCAAATAAGGCAACAGAGATGATAATATAAGGTGATATATTCTGATGATGTTTGCTACTTAATTGTGGCGGCGGCAGCGGCGGAGGTGGTGGTGGTGGTGTGTAATAATCCAAGTCTACATATGGATAACAACTATCAGGACATGTTGAATCACAAAAATACAAACAATCTTTGGATTGATTTGCAGTTTGAAGTAGTTTTCTGGTGTTCATAGCCATTGATAGATAATGTTTCTTGATCTTAGAAAAACAATAATGGAGTTAGTTTCATTTTGGGTAGAAGAAGATTTAGGTGAGTAGTCATTGAGATTCTTGATTTATTTTCAAGGTTCTTTAATTCTTTCTCTCAATGAGTAGTTGTCAACAAGGTGGAGGGATGATAAGCCTGTTATTTTCCAAGGTTTGAATAAAGATTTTTAGAGTGTCTTTTGCTTTCATTCAATTGAATATATGAGGTTGATGGCTCCTTGGAATATTTTAAAATTTTCCATGAATAGTTGAGATACATTAATTTCTTAAGCCAAGGGTCTATCAGAAACAATCTTTTTATTTTTCGGGTTTGTTGTTATTTATTTTGTTATTTTTAGTTAGGAAACATTGATTTGAAGCAAACTAGAGTGAATTACAAGCATTTTACTTGTCAAACAAAATGATAAATTCCGTGCTAAATTACTATACTTGAGCTGAATTCCACGAGATTATTTGACCTTGGACCTAATTAGTTGTCACAACTCACATACATAGCCATATTGTAGTCTGCTTGTTTTTGTCCTATGGTAAGTATGACATTATTGCTAGTCAATTTTCTGGAAAAGTAAAAGTTAATCAGCATTTTCTATTGCATACAATGGTTCATGTATGGTATACATTACTGTTAGTTACACAGTCAAAGCATACAAGACTAATTAGTGGTAGAATTTTGTTACGTGTAATAAGTTAGTTGCTCTGTCCCGAAAAATAGAAGGGTCAACATATTTAAATTTTGATATAATTTCAGACATTTATATTATAATAATTTTCTAGGAAGTTACTCCCTCTTTTAAATTTTAGGTGAACTGATCGGAGTTCCAGATCATAGCACTTAATTTTGGGGCTTTTGCATTTATACCCAGTTTTGGGGTCACAATTGAACCTATACCCACTTTGCAAAAATATTTGCAAGCCTACCCACTTTACGTTCAACTTCAGACTTATCGGGTCTGAAGTTTAAAAAAAATTACTCTGAAATAAAAAAATTGCACTTCAGATGCACTTAAGGTCAAATAGGTCTGAAGTGCAACCAATGACTTCATGCACTTAAGGTCAATAAGTCTGAAGTGAAAAATTATTCTTCAGATGCACTTAAGGCCAAAAGGTTTAAAGTGCAACAAACGTTTTCCTATACTTAAGATCAATAAGTCTGAAGTGAAAAATTACACTTTAGATGCACTTAACGCCAAATAAGTCTGAAGTGTAACTAATGGTTTCATGCACTTAAAACCAATAAGTCTGAGGTAAAAAAATGCACTTCAGATGCACTTAAGGCCCAAAGGTCTGAACTGCAACAAACATTTTCCTATACTTAACGCCAATAAGTCTGAAGTGAAAATTTGCACTTCAGATGCACTTAAGGCCAAAAAGTCTAAAGTGCAACCAACATTATCATGAACTTAAGGCCAAGTAGGCCTGAAGTGCAAATTGTCCAGAAATAGAAATTTGTTCTTCGAATTATAACAATCAAATATACAATTTAATACCTAAATCTACTCCGATCCAAATGAGCTCAAATTTGAAATATAACCTCCAAATATCATCAAGAACAAACCCCAATCATCAATTTGTCAAAACAACAATGAATCTAACGAACCCATTTTGCAATTAAAAAATAGAAGAAGAAGAAAAAACGCTAAACAATAGTAAAAAATAAAGTGCCATAACAACTCACCACTGTAAAACATTATTAACTACCTTAAAATATGTTCACAAACACCATATAAAATCACTGTCACCCGAAGAAGAAGAAGAAGAAAGAGGAGAAAAAAGCCTGAAGTTGTTTTAAAATTGGGTACGAGTTAATTTTTTTTTAAAAAGTGGGTATAAGTTAAATGGGGGGACCAAGTAGGGTGCCCGTGCAATTTTTTTATATGTCAATTTGGAGATAGATTCCTCAAATTCTTAAACAAACTTTATATATCCGGTAACAACATATAAGTCATAATAATTTATTCAAAATATTCAAGAGATGTTTGAAGAAAAAATGTCTTTAAAGAAATAATTGTTTGAACCTCCGAATAGTGATAGCGCCACATAAAATATTTTATGTGATGGAGTACACTGTTTAGAAAGTCACAGAAAATATTAATCTAAAGTTTTATAATTAGCTAAAGAATTTTAAAATATATGATTAAATCTTAGTCAAAAGAAAATTATTTCACTCTTCTCTAAGTTTTGGTAGTGTCCTTTTGAGGATGCAAGAAGTTATTAACTTACTCGTTCCTTACTTTTCTTCCAATTGGCTAGCTATATTTTGGTTACAGAAAAGGGCCATATATGCCGGTGAACTAAGCGAATTAGGATAGATATATCCGTCGTTAATAGTTTGGCACAGATATGTCCAATCCGTTCAATACTTGCTCATTCATGCCCTTAGTTTAACAGAACCACTATTTTGTCTTTCTTAAATAATTAATAACCGAACCCAACCAAAATCTGCTGACCCGCTTCGTTAGGACCCGACCCACCCTTATTTCAAAGATATTTTTTGATATATTATTTTTGTTTGATTGAGAAATTGTGTGATAATCATATTTATTTATTTGAGTAATTTGATAATCAATATTTTTTGTTATACATCATTTCGTGAAGTAATCCTACTAAAAGTAGTAATTGATATTTATTTATTATTTTAATAATATAATATTCGAATTAGTTTGTATTTTTTTCAATCATTTTACCATCTATTTTTATTTTTTTCACAATCTATTTGTATTTTTCACCAATACAAATACAAATAACTCGATGTTCACTATAACTTAACCTGATAGATCCGTTTATTTGTTTAGATAAGTGATCATTATATGATTGATTATTAGTTTATTAGATTATTTTCTGCACTACAAATTTGTTATGAAATAAGTAATAAATTGTTAAAACAGTGGTGCTTCTTTTCCATTTTTATTAATTAATTATTTCATAAAAAATATTATTTCATAACAAGCACCACTGTTAATTCTTTTTCCATTTTTATTAATTAATTATTTCATAACAAATATTATTTCATAACAAGCACCGCTGAGAAAAATAAAAATAGATGGTAAAATAATTGAAGAAAGCACAAACTAATTCGAATATTATATTATTAAAATAATAAATAAATATCAATTACTACTTTTAGTAGGATTACTTCCCGAAATGATGTATAGCAAAAAAAAAAATCGATTATCAAAAATTACTCAAATAAATAAATATGATTATCACACAATTTCTCAATCAAACAAAAATAATATATCAAAAAATATTTTTGAAATAAGGGTGTGTCGGGTCCTAACGGATCGGGTCAACAGATTTTGGTTGGGTCCGATTATTAATTATTTAAGAAAGATAAAATAATGGTTCCGTTAAATTAAGGGCATGAATGAACAAGTATTAAACGGATTGTGCATATCTGTACCAAACTATTAACGACGAGTATATCTATCCTAATTCGCATAGTTCATTGGCATATATGAAGTACTATATTTTTCTTGCGTTTATTTTTTTTTTTCATTGGCACAGTGATAGCTGGTAACTCATAATGTTGAGTGGTACATATGAAGCACGACTTTGAGGGTTTAGGTGATAAATCAATATCTAGAAGTATGATTAGAAAAATAATTAGGTAGCGAATAATTAATTTTCATATCTAATCTTAGAAAAACCACATGTGATTACATTCAGGGTAGTCGGTATCTGTCGACTAATGCATGCCCATAGTGGTTGTTGGATGTCAGTACTATATCCAATCAACTTCTCTCTTCTTTTCCTTCCTTTTATTTGTTTCAATTTTGATTTTCTATGTTTTTGTTAAAGCCAATCTTGCCACACAATGACACAGAGGAAGAGTAAATTTTACAAATAATCATATAATTATGATTTTTTTTCCCATCAAAGTCATATAATTATGTTTTCTTACAAAAAAAATTCATAAATATTTTACTGATTCACAGATAAATTATTGTCATCATAAAATACAACTTTTCTTTCTTGATTTTATTTTTTATTTTCAGTCTAATAAATAGTAATCCAATTTCAAATAGGTTTTGGTAAAATGGGAACTCATGAAAGTTTGGATTAGTTCAAAATTTAGTAGTGATGAATGGGTAAGTGTTGTGAACAGGCCAATTACTGATTATACTGTTGGGCTAGAAGCTACCATATTTGGGCCAATTAGTAGAATACGGAAAACTAATGTATGTGAGATCTAGATTGAGAAAAAGCTACTCCATTAAAATACTGGTAGCTGAAGGGAATAGGAGACTTATAAATAGCATGAGCCTGTAGTGATTAGGGTATTCTTTCACTTTGACTTTTCTTTTCCTAGTTGTTTGTAGTAGAAACTAGAAATTAGGAACCTCCTTTTCTTCTTTATTTTTTCCGTTTATTTCTGAATTTTAAAGCAAGAAAGGAGATGAACTCCTCTATCAGTGTTTTAATTATAATTTTTCATTTTAATACTATCCCCTTCATTGGTTCAAATGATCAAGGCAAGTTAAAATAAATTAAGTCAACCAAGATGTTATTATAATCCACCTCCCCAGTTTATTTAGGTCAATTTGGATAAAGGCAAGATGAGTTGGGGAGTGTCATATCAATCCATCCAACTCAAAACTTCTTTCACGTTCGTTTTTTAAATCTCTCACAATACAATTGAGTTGCTATATAACAATATAAGTTTGTTCTATAACAATAATGTATGTCTCAAAGTATTCACTTCATTATTTGTTTAACTAATATATAGTACATGAAAAATTACAGGTTTATATAGTAAAAACATAGAGGAATGTGGATGCTTTCTTGGGAAACAATTTGTGATTTAGAGAGGATGAAGATGAATCAGAAGGGCGAGAAGTTTGGGAGGAAGAAAAGTAAGTAAGCTTAAAGGTTCCCTGCTAAATATACCAAGACCATTAAATTTGAAATTATCTATATGGCTTTGATTCGATAGACTTGGGAAATGCGGAAGCTTTTATTACTGGAATGAATCCTCTTCTTCTCTCATAAGATACAAGTTAGAGCTGACTCCAATCTTGTTTTATTTAAAACAATTTTCCCATAAACTACGCCCACAAAAATAACCATATAGGAAGAAAGTGATTTTCAATACTCCCTTTCTTTATGTTTTGTGCTGAATTACTTTTAACAATTTATCAATATTAAAAAATATTTAAAAAAATTGTGCTATTTATGGTAATAGAAATTTGCCGTTTAGGTATAGAAGGTGAATTCGAACCA